ATATGTATGAAGCTGAATACGCTCTGTGACCCACATTTTGCACTAGAATCGACATTGATATTCAAACATGATTTAAATATTAAGTGACCAATTAGAAGCTGAGGTTTTCTGAAAATATGTATGAAGCTGAGTAAACTCTGTGATCCACATTTTGCACAGATATGCAAAAAATCTAACATGGATAAGAAAGTGGTAGCGAGATGTTAAAACGAGGCAGATCAAACTAAAATGGAGTATTGCTATCAATTTTCAAAGGGAGCTCCTAACTCCTAACTTGTCTTGTTTGAAGCGGACTACGCGATTAAAATGGCTGATGAATTATTTCCCAAACTACCACCGATTCCACCCACATTGTAGTGAATCTCTTGCTACACTATCGCTATTTCCATGGCACGTGTTTTGACGAGTTACAAACCTTGGACTCACCGGGCCTGACCTTTGCAACTGGGACCCGCCGTGCCACGTACACGGAAATGAATCATCCCAATTTCCAAATAATCCCATTAGAAGAAATAATTTCGACTCGGTCAGAAAATTTAAAGAAAAGACTACCAACAGGATATTTTCCCTATCATTACAATCTTGGATTCTTGAAATTTAGAGTTAATCATTAACTTTCCTACATAACGCTAGGAACTTCATTTTTTGCCATTTATTACGCTCGTACAACTAAAACTCTAACGTGAGAGACTCATAAGTCTTGTATTACTTAACCATTAGTACTAAGAAAAATATATAATTTTTCTGCAATTTCATAAACCTCAAACTTCGATCCGACTAAAAGATTTGGTTGGTTGGTGAGTTAAATTTGTTTAGTGGCATATCAACGTATATGATATATTTAATGTTGAAACTTTAGTATTTTGAATACAGTTTGATTCATTCAATTACAGATATAAGCAAGTCCTATTAATACAATATATAATATTAAATATTGAATGTAGAAAACTGACTCGGGAAGAGCACACAAAGATTATTTTCAATAAACTGAGCAAAATTTTCATACAACTGGAATTAAGATGCCATTAGTTTCAAATAGTTTCCAATAGTACAATATATATATATATATATATATATATATATATATATATATATATATATATATAGATAGATAGATAGATATATAGATAGAATATATGATAGATAGATATATATATATATATATATATATTGATGTATAATACATATTAATGTATATAAATATATATATATATTATATTAATTATAATTATATAAATATATATATTTATATATATTATAAATAATTATATATACATATATATATATATATATATATATATATTTATATTAATCAAATAAATGAATGTTTCCTGTATATATATATATATATATATATATATATATATATATATATATATATATATATATATATATATATATATATATATATATATATATATATATATATGTATGTATGTATTTATATATATGCAGAAATAACTATGTTCCGGAACTAAAAAGTAATACTTAAATTTTAAATTTAAATTTATTTTTTTCATTTTCAAGTGATGTTGAAAAACTTCAGAAAAAAAAAAAAAAGATTTTAAGCTAACTAGCATTATATTTAAGAGTTCAATTTGGAGTGGGAATGCGATTTCAAAATCTTAAATGGGTGTTGTCTACTTTGACGAATCATGCAACAGGTTTAAACTAAGATGGAAAATTGTAAAATGTAGTTTAAATTTGTCGTGAGGAGATGCATATTCTACTTTCCTATTTGGGCTATGATCTCTTACAGGAATATTCCTAGTTACATTTATCCTTATATATATATAAATGCATATATATATATATATATATATATATATATATATATATATATATATATATATATATATATATATATATATATATATACATATATGAATATATGAATATATATGTACATATATATATATATATATATATATATATATATATATATATATATATATATATATATATATATATATATATGATTATATGTATGTATCTATATATTCTGTGTGTATATATATATAGACATGCAGTGATATATTCCATTATATCTCAATTATACTCAGTCGTACGTGTAAATTTATATTTTGATTTAAAATTCTCCCTGTGTAACTCTATTTATTTAACTTGTGTCAATATGTATGTGTTATTGCACACACACAGAGTCACGCACACATACACACACACGTTTTTGTATATGCAATAAAGGCCTCCATACACACAGACAGACGCACACATACACACACGCCTGTGTGTGAGTGGTTGCTTGCACATTTATCTATACATATGATTTTGTTTGTTTGCTTTTTCTTTGTATCTATTCATATGCATCCATATATATATATATATATATATATATATATATATATATATATATATGTGTGTGTGTGTGTGTGTGTGTGTGTGTGTGTCCATGTTTATTTATGTGTATGGATCTCATGATATTGGCGCGTAACTGTATTATTTTGTTTTAATATTTAATGTCTCTCTCTCTCTCTCTCTC